TATTTAAAATAGACAAAAGAAAGGTAGGAAGGTAATGAGTTACCTACATAACTTAAGGGACTAAAAAAAGAACAATAAAATAATCCAAGAAGCTGGGAAGAACAATAAACATAAGAGTAAAATGAATGAAATATAATAAAAAGATTCAAAGGTAAGGAATAACAACATCAAGTTCTGACAAGTTTGATACTAAAATAATAGTTAGAATGAAATAGGGAATGTATGTATAGATAAGGCACAGACAAGAAGGACAGTAAGAGAAAATGCTTTGAAACAACTTTTTGATAATACATTAGAAAACATAAACAAAATGGATATAATTCCTAGGGAAAAAACAGAATTTTTCACAAAGGAGACAATATGGTTAGTCCTATTAACTATTCAAATGATTCAATCAATAGTTAAAATATTTCCTGAATGAAAACTCCAGACCCAGATAGTTTTATCTGTAAGTTCTACGTTTTATTCAAGGAGTAGATAATTCCAATATTTCTCAAAATTTTACAGGGAATATAAAATAAGGAGTACTCCCGAGCTCATAGAGACGAATATAACTTTGATACTAAAGCCAAAAAAGGATAGTATGAGAAGAGAAAACAAAAAGAAAAGCTCCTATATTGATATATATGCAAAATGCTAAATGAAATATTGAAAAACAGATAACATCCAACTATTAAAAAAAAAAAACTTACAGAAAAGCCAAGTTGAAACTAAACCAGGACTAGAAGTTTGGTTAATACTAAAAACTGTTCACTGCATTAAAAGGTTAAAGGAGAAAAACAGCATGAATATCCCAGTAAAAGTAGGAAAAGCATCTACAAGAATAAAGCATTCCTGATTTAAAAAAAAAAAAAAAAAAAAAAATAACTTAGAGAAGAACTGCCTTAACTTGATAAAGAGTATCTTTAAAATCTATAGTAAACATCATACCAAATGGTGAAATGTTAATCTTATTCACTCTTGAAAATCAAGAGCAAAACAGGGATAGGGATATTCACACTCAAAATATCTATTCAACACTGTACTGGACTAAAGAAAGTGCACTCATATAAAATATATAAAAGGAGCAAGGGTTGATAAGAACAGAACAACTCTCACTGCTTGCAGATAATATGATTCTCCAAACACAAAAGCCCAAAGAATCCAGACATGATAACCACACACTGCTTTTCAGTTGGTTAAGAATGGCCTCATGCATCAGTTACACTGGTAAAGCTGACTTCCCATCCTGGAATAAAATAAATCAGTACCTCTACCTCACACAATACACAAAATCAATTCCAGATAATTAAAGACTTAAATGTAAAGAGGAGAATATTAAACTTTTATAAGTACATTTAGGAGAATGTTTTTACCATTTCAGGAAAAGAAAAAATTTTAAACAACTCATGAGCGAACATGAGCTATAAAAAAATCAATACTTTAATGTAAAATTAAGAATATCTGTTTATCATTTGACACCATCAAGGAAAAAGAAAAAGCTACTAAAAAGAAGATATGTATATAACTGACAAAGGATTAATCCAGGGTATACAAACAACTCTTAAGTTAAAAATAAAAAAGACTACCATACAGTGAAAAAGTATCTGGATAACAGAAACATAAATGGTCAACAAATCTATGAAAATGAGCTTAACTTCACTGTAATTATAGAAATGCAAATTAAAACCAAAATTACATTTTAATATAAAAATAAAAATGCAAATTAAAAAGTAAAATACAATTTTATATTCATCAGATTTGCACAAATTAAAATGCTGAACAATAACAAATGTTGGCAAAGACGTAGATCAACAGATACTCGCAAATATAATGTTGGGGGGAAGTTGTAGATGTAGGAATGCTGTCTGATGTCATTACATAAAAGTTTAAGCAATGAAAAAGGTAAAACAATTTTACATGTTGCTTAGAAGCACATACCTGTTTATTCAAAGGATTAAAAAAGCACATATAATTCAGAACAGGGGCCACCTATTCAGAGGGAGCTTAAGAGAGAAAAGATAATGTCATCGGGGTGAGTTATCAGGTAGCTTTAATTGTACTTCAAATCTTTAAATCTTAAGATAAGTGGTGGCTACACAGAGATTCTTTACACTTTTCTCCATACCATTTATACGCCTAATATAATTCATGATTAAAAATGTATTGCACCTCAAAAATGGGGGGAAATACAAGGGACTAAATGGTAGGTACATCCTGGGTTTTCTGTACAAAGAGAGAATTCACAACAAAGGTAGGAAGATATTTTGTGCCTTATTCATCACATGTATCCTGATAGGATGCACCCCAAAGAGAAACTCAAGGACAGCACCAAATGGAAAAAAAAAAAGAAAACTTTTGTTGGAAGAGGCAATCCACTCACTACGTGCCCTTAGCTTCCTGTTAAGTGTTTCTGGACGTACCAAGAATGAAAGGCCCAGTCACTCCATTTCTCGGGGATGTGTTTTCAGAGACCAACCAGGAGGGATAAGACAAACTCTCCCTCTAGGACAAAGAGCAGGCTTGCTTACTCCCTGCTATAAAAGAGGTGGATTCACTAATCTCAGTGTTCCTCAGCTGCGGGTGTAGCATCTCTCCTGGCTAAATCATATCACTTCTGTGGGACTTGCGGGCGAGCCCAGGAATATCATGTCTTCTGCTAACATCCATGGAAGAGTAGCAGCCTAGCTTATTAGCTCGTAAGTAGGGTAAAATAAAATCCCAGACTCAACAACTTTATCCCACTTTGCCTATAATGTTCTGGCCAGGAAGTAGGGGCAGACTGCAAGAGACATGATATAACTTTAGAAGTGTTTGCAAACAAGCCACTCTCTCCAGGAAGAAAAGACTGAGGAAAAACCTACAAGTTAATGATACTTCTTCAGGTATTAGAGGGCATCAAGAATCTGTAGTAAAAAATAGAACTGCTTAAGAGGAATAACGTATTTTGTGAAAGACTCCGGGGAACAGGGAATTACACTGGAAACTTCACATTCCCCTATAGATCAGAGAAGTGAATCTGATCTCTGCATGTGGCAAAGAAAGCAAAATCAGGGTAATCGACTGACATGTGTTGACAAAGGCTGAGTCTGGACAAAATTTGCTTTAGAACCTATTAAAAGTATTAAGCATAAAAATGGAAACATCAAATGGAAGTAGGAGGAAAGATTGCCTCTAAGATCCAAAACAGCATTTCAGATAACTGCCTATATCTTCAGAATAATACAAACAAATAGATGTGGCTTCAATCAATCAGAAACAGAAATTCATAGGAAAGAACAACCTGAAATAAATAGTACTTGAAAAAATGGGACAAAAATAATCCCTTTCAATCCTTTTAAAAATATAAATAAATCAAACATACCACTAAAAGATGCAGGAAAATTTCCTGAATTGTGTATGAGATGTCTAAGTATCGATATAATAAAATAATTTTTCAAGTTGTAAGCAAAGCAAATAAAAAAAGAGATCTAAACCCATCTGTATGCTGGAAATATATATATATATTTATCTTTTTATATATATGTTATATATATATATATGTTTTTAGCTAAAAGAATGAAGAAAAAATTATCCCATAGTCAACCAAGAGAAACAATAAATAATTACAACAAAAAAAGGAGGTGGGGGGCTTCCCTAGTGGCGCAGTGGTTGAAAGTCCGCCTGCCGATGCAGGGGACACGGGTTTGTGCCCCGGTCCGGAAGGATCCCACATGCCGCAGAGCGGCTGGGCCAGTGAGCCACGGCCGCTGAGCCTGCGCGTCCGGAGCCTGTGCTCCGCAGCAGGAGAGGCCCCAACAGTGAGAGGCCCGCGTACCATAATAAATAAATAAAATGGGGGGACTCAAAAAATTTAAAATTCTGGCTACTAGACAAGTAAACTTTTATAAATTAAAAAGTAATTTTATAAACTAAAAGGTAAACTTAAACTTGTGTATCATAAATATGACATATAGCTATCAAAACGCCCAGAGAAGATACAGGTTAAAAAAAAAAACAAAAAAACCTGTTCATAGAAAAGAAACAGAGGAAGCAGAATTTGAAAAACGGAACACACAGAATATAATGGCAGGAACAAAACCAACCATTGCCATTATAAAAACAGAAGCGATAGAATAAGCCATGCATTAAATGACACATCATCAATTTATTAATGGTCTGTGGCAGTTGGGGGAGACTACTACCACATTATAAGAACATTTGCATTCTAATTTCAGAATAATTGAGGTGTAAAGAACTACAAGAAATCTTAGAACCAAGGTAATGCTGATATGCATTATATATGAAACATACAACAAAAAGGAAGAGAGACTAGTAAGAAGAAACAAAAATTAGAAAATAGTCAAAAGATAGATCAGGAAGATAAACACTAAATTTGGTCTCTGGTGCCAATTCTAAATTCCCTGCTAAAAAGCATGTGGTTTTCTCAGGACGGGACATGGGTTCACCCTGGTCCAATTAACAAGGTACAAACTTGGCTTCCAGAGCCAGGCCTCAGTGGGGGCCTGTGTCGAAGGTCATCATGAGCTGGGCAAAACTGCAGTGGAGGTCAAAGATATGTCACATTCTTTTCTTTCTCACTGCCTTTGTTCCTTTATATTTTCAGATTTGTTAGATGTAATTCTCTAATTTCAGTGTTCTGCTAGAACAAAGGTCATGTCTGACAATTCGTTCATATGCGTTTCAGTTCTAACATAGTACAAAGCACAGAGTAACTAATGAATAAATACATCCTTAACTAGATTCTTTTTCCTCCCCTAAACAGAATCCTTACAAAATAGTAAGACAGATAACACACACACATACACCCACATTCACATACACCCACATTCACATACACACACATTTTAAACTCTGATTTGTACAGTACATAGAGATCAAAAAAATCGTATTGAATTACCTTCTCAACCTATTTCCTTAATTAATAAATTCCACATATTGTTTCTGAAATCCGAAATGACCACACAAATTCAGTTATATATTTTTAAGTGTTGGACTTATATGTGTGAACATATACTTACAGGCAAACTGGAGTTTAGCTTCTCTGCTGACAATTGTTCCAACTGAATTTGTTGCAAAACATTGATAACTTCCTGTATCCCAATTTCTGTTGGGGTTAATAACCACAAGATTTCCTCCGTTCAACTTATAACGATACTCCATACTCAGATTAATATCGCTTCCATTCAGCTGCCATCTGTAAAACAAATGTCCAGGATTTTCCCTTTAGTATATTTAAACTTTTTAAAAAATCTGCATTATATAATCTACTTTAAACATCAGCTCTCTTATAAATGAAAGGCAACAAATATATCATTCAAATATTACATAACTGAAAAATCAAACATGTCTAAGTTTTGTTATCAGAAACAAAAGGTTAAATTACAGTAGAAAGCACAAGAGAGTAGCATCTAAAAGCTAAAGATTTTTCAAGATTTTCTGAAAAGGTGAGAATAATTTGGTTTGTTCACTAGGGGGAAAATTAGGCTTGGTCTGTATAGACAAAGATGAAATAGAAAGTTGAGGTAATTATATCATATACTTCAGGCCAGTCTCATGCTGCCAAAGGGGGAAAAGGGCACATTTCTTTGATTTATCCAGACTGACTGAGCACATTTAATAAATTAATTGGGTAAGTGCTCAACTATCCATTTCAATTTGTCTGAGTAAATACCTGTCCCCGAGGCCCTCCGTCCGCTCTTCTAAGCCACCACAGTGATATTTACTAAATGGTACACTGTGGTAAAAGATCCTAAATGCCACCTAGGGGGTTGGAAACAGTAAAGGCACTAACCCCAGAGCCATATTTATCAATGGGAAGCCAAAATGAAAGAAGCTGGTTTTTCAACAAGAGTTTTCAAATAGAAAAACCAGAATTTTTTAAACAGCAAGCACACCTGACACATCCAAGTAGATTATTACCTTTAAAAACTCGTTAAATATCGCACAATCTCAAGAATACATCCATTGTATAAATTAAGCCAACTGTCTCCTGGAGGACTTATTTTTATAAGAAAATTACACTGGTATCCATTCTATAAATTTTAGAGTATTATGGCAACAATCTCAATTGCTTTTCATAATAACTTTGAGGAAGTGGTTAATAAAATGACCATTTCACAGATGAGGATTTCAATAAAACAGTTGAGTGAGTTTGCAACTCTCCCCAAACTATTAATTACTGGATCAGAACTAGTACCCATTTGAATTCTAGCCCAGAGGTCTTTAACCATGTCATGGGTCATATAAAAATTGTATTAATATATCAAATATTTAACCTGGAAATAGTAATATTGTGAAAGCATAAAAAGAGGTTAAATGTGAACATTATCACAAACCAAAGCACATAAAGTTAAATGAAATATACAGCTGTGAAAATGTATGAGCTTTTGCAAACACAGAAAAGTCTTACAAAGGTGAAAACATTTTTTACAGTGCAATGTGATACCATGTATATAAAGTTTTAAAACATATAAAGTAATATTAAGAATGTATTAAACATTTTAAAATGTATGAAAATGAATCATTTCAAGTTTAAGGTACTTCAGAGCTCTCATGGAGAGAAAAGTGAGAAAGGGTTATGGGGCAAACACTGGGAAATCTAGCTTTTTTGGTTTAATTTCCTACTGAAGAGTGGTTATATGGATGTTCATCATTACACTTAATTATATGTTTATATCATTTTCTATATCTGAAATAGTGCATAACAAAATTTTAATAATAGAGGCTACAGAAAATGAATAAATTTAGAAGTTTAGTTTCTACAGCTCAAAGCAATATTATACCATTTGCTCATTTTAAAAATCAAGACTTTCTTGATTTTTCTTTCTTTATGCACATACAAGTCTCCCAGGTCTAAAGCAGTATTTCTTCTGAGAAATCAAAATGAAATTAAGAGGAAACACTGGAGGCCCCATGTCTTTTCTTTTGAACTTAAAAGAGCACAATTACAAAGAAATATGAAAAAGCCATAACTGCTTTCTCGTTTGTGGCAGATTTCCGCTATGGGTTTGATTCTGCTTTGTTTGTAGAGTAACTCTCTTATGCTCCTTCCCAAGGCAAGTCCATATTTGCATGTCCATTTTAGGTCACTTTTTTCTCTTCTGACTTTAATCCTGCCCTTAGAGATCTGAAGTCGAACCACGAACACTTATTAACCCTTCTTCATCTTATTCCTGCCCAAGTCCTAGAACTACAGAAACTCAGAAAAGGAAATGAAGTCAAGGGAAATTGTCCATCTGCATTCTGTCTGAATACTCTGCACTCGATACACAAGGTGGTCGGCAGACCAATATCATCAGCGTCCTCCTCACCATCTGAGAGTTTGCTGGAAATGCAGAATCGTGGGCTCTATCCTAAATCTACTAAACCAGAATTGGCATCCTAGTGAGATCTGCCAGTGTTTAATATGCCCATTCAAGTTTGGAAGAACTGGTCTATAATATCCCCAAGAAGCAACCGTGGACTGCCTATAAGGGACATAGATAAGAATTCCCTGCTCTTGTTTTAGCCTATTCCATATTCAACAACTATGATTAGAAAAAGCAACTTTCCTTGTCTCCCTTCCAGGTGAAAAAACATTTATTACGAGTGTCTATATGTCAGGCAACTTTCCAGGTTCTAAGAATGGGGTGAAAAAGGTCCCTGCCTTCATGGAACTTACATTTGGGGGGCGACTTTTTTATGATACATAGTTCCTACCCTTTCCCCCCTTGTCCAGTCCCAGGCTCTATCCAATCCTACCATGTAACAGCAGAAGGAAGAGAAATGAGATTCAGAAACAAGTGCTCCTTGTTTTATGGGTTGGACTCATCCCTCACCAGCTGTGTGACCATGGGCAATTAAGCTAACTCCTTTAAACCTAAGTTTTTAACATGTAAAATAAAGAGAATGTCATCTTTCCCATAGGGTTGTTCTATCAATTTATTTAGACAATGTATGTAAAGCCGGTGGCCCAGGGCAGCCAGCCAACAAATGGGCCGGCACCACTGTTAACAAGGGAGGAGGTTCCATCAAAGGCTGCAAACCCATCTGTCTGCTTTGTTTTTCTCTTCTGCCACCCTCATAGAGTAGACGTGGGTTATACGTAACCTGCTTGATTCAATGCTTTTGGTCATCTCCTCTCATGTGGAACGGGCTGTGTCTTCCACATAGGGTTTGTCTGCATTTGTAGCTGTCTGAGAAGTCAGGGAAACACGGGACGAAACGCATGCTGGGCTTGACATTCAAAGAATAAATCTGATAGTAAATCACATGTGGGTGGGTTGAATTTTTAAGCTGCAAATGGCTTGCCAGTTACTAAACGATTTAATACTTGCAGGGGAGGAGGGAGGGGAGAACTCCTCTAAATGCAAAGCAGGAAAAATACAGTTAATTTCACATACTTTTTTGAATGGAAAACTCTCATGACAAAGGGTACTTGTGGCTTTGTTACCTATAAAGAACAGTTTGTACCAAGGAAAAAGGATTTCAGCTCCAGAGTCTAGAATGTTTACGGCCTGATGAAGCACGTCTGATGGCTCCATTTGAAAATTCCGTGTTCTTGTTTAGCTGATGAATAATAAAGGTACAATGGCTATGTGGAAAATTGTAAAGCTAAATGAAAATATAGAGAAGCACTTCTTCTTGCCCATTTAATAGCTGGAAAGATTTAGAGATCATAAAGTATGTGGGAAAATACCGTATTTCAGTAAGTGTCTAAGATCTAAAAGCTATCATCTCAAAGTTTTGACTGAAGATCCAAAATGGAAAACATTTCTTCCATTATGCATAAGTGTTTCTTACTTCTTTTAGCTCAGTCTTTCTCATAGAGACAAAATCTCTATATCATTTCCCTATGTGAAGAGGTAAAAGCTACTCTCTTTTACGTATGTTTCTGCTAGACCGAAAGTATAAGTGCATTTGCTTTAGCAAAACTCTTAGAGCAAAGATATACTTGAGATACTCTGAAGGTTAATTTTCTCTTAACAAAAGCAATATCATTATTTCTCTCCTTCTTAACACTATTCATCATTAAATGGAACTCATCCCCAGGTGATATAAAATTTCTTAATATCTTATTAAACAATGGTTGTTTTTCCTTTTGCTGAAAATATGTGAATTCAGAAGGGTTGTCTTGGTTTAAACTCTGCAATGCGTAAGCAATCTCTGGGCCTGGGCATCCAAATATTATTTTATCCTGAGGAAAGAATGTACTTAAATTCCTAATACAAAATATTCATATTTGGGCCTGATTTCTGAGTATTTCTAATATGATCTTCTGTATAAGAAATATTCATGAAAACTGAAGGCACACACATATACTCCTTATACAAAGAATGTGTCCAATAAATCTACAAATTAGACTTAATTTATTTGCAGTAAATTGTAATCCGGCTGTTCAGAGTTCATGAACATCATGCATAGTGGTAAGACTGTTGACAGGTAAGTGGCACATTCAGGTCATAAATTTGGGAAGATTTCAGAGGTAGACACTGTCTTTTAGCTTTGCACATTCACAATCCTTTGTAAAAGTTACATATGTCTACCTTATGAAGGAATTTTGAAGTTCCTGAGGACTCTAAAATCTCAGAATGAAATCTTTTTGAAATATGGAAATTGTTTAAAACTTCATAAAAGTAACATTTGCATACCCCAATTCCATTCCAAAAGGCTTCATGCAGTGATCTGGAGTAAAAGAAGACAGCTCTGGGGCTCTTGGGGCTACATACACCAGCATTTCAATCATGTAACATTTACACTGTGCTCTAGAATCAGACTAACATTGTAGCTTTAGCTCAGTGGCAAATGTCACAAGATTAAGCAGCTCTGCATAATCATCATCTTGTAACACTCCTGAATGATCTTGTAAGTTCACTGTCTGCCTTCAGTGTTCAAACGCTCATTCTACATGAATTAGGATTTGCTTTTAGAATCCACAAGTGAGAAATGGTTTATTATTCATATTTCACAGCTCTGATTCTCAGGCAATGAGCTCTCATCCCCCTTAACTGCTTGGTGTGGAGCTTATATGTTTCTAGAATTTGTTTCTAGGCCAGTAACTTGAGGTTGGCGGTCTGGAAGAAGTCCCGGGCCACTTACTCTGATCGCCGACCTGAGGCAGCATGGACTGGATCAGTCCACTTCTCAGTCTCAGTTACATCCTCTACACAACAGGAAGCTGGTATCGACCTCATTGCAGAGAGGCTAGGGAGGTAA